TCCTGGCAATACATTTCTATTTGCAAATTTCTGCATTTCCCTGCGTGGCACCTTTATTCAAACAGGCCGCCTGATTCACCTCTGGTCGGTAGTGACGTGGTACGCCACTCGGCTGGGAGATGGCAGCACTTTACAGCCTACCGCCGCATGGCCGCCACCCAACAGACACAAAAGATCCCTTATGTCATTATTTAATTGTCGTGGAGTACCTTAGTGGCTTGCAAATGTCATACAAAGGGCCTTTTTCATTATTTTAATAGGTTTTAGTGCATTTAAGCTCTTTTTGAGAAAGTATGATATTTTGGGGACGCGGTATGATATTTTTAGGAAGTTGGTACGACAATCTGCTCTCGGCCGTCTAACAACCCTGGTATCTGCTGCACTCCGTGGCTTTCATACATTCACCGGCTGCGACACCGTGTCATTCTTTTCTGGAAAAGGCAAAAGATCAGCATGGTCAGCTTGGGATCACAAAGATGATGAAGTCACAAATGCATTCCAAGTTTTGGGTTCGCCAAACACAGCTCCACCAGACCAGATTCTGCCTGCTCTTGAGCGGTTTGTCATTGGTCTCTACGGGGCCACGGCCACTTGCGAAAGCGTAAATGGTGCAAGGGAACACCTTTTCGCCACCGAAGGGAAGACACTAATCCATATCCCTCCCACCTTACATGCACTCAAGCAGCACACGCGCCGAGCAGCTTACCAGGCTGGTGAAGTTTGGGGAAGAGCCAGCGACTACGCGTTGTGGGACGACTTTCCGGATCCCGCAGGGTGGGGCTGGAAATTGGACAGAAATAAGTGGGTGCCTCACTGGAGTGACCAGGATGAAATTTGGAAGACGTCTCGGGACCTCAGCACGTGCGGCTGCGCGTCTGGTTGTGGCACCAATCGATGCTCTTGCAGGAGATTTGGCGTTCCGTGCGATCTTTCTTGCAAAAAGTGCAAAGGGACCTGTGAAAACAGCAAGTAAGTTACTTCATTATATACTTTAAAAACTTACCAGCATTTGGATACTCACTGCGCTCTTCTTTCTCAGGAAGGACAGTGACCTTCTTATTCCTGAATCTGCTGAAGATGTAGATGGTGACTTGACTGCACATTAGTTTAATGTTTTTATCGTTTATCTTTTTATAATGTATGTTTCGTACATTTTACCCTGTATGTTGCTGTGAACATTTTTAAAAAAATTTATTAACAGACAAAGGAAATATATTCCTTAAAACAAGTTATATGCTTTTTCATGAAACTCACCTTTTGCTAACGGCAAGTCTTCGGAACCTAAAAGAGTTCTAGTAACTTCCGTGGCATAGACCTCTAAACTGTTATTGACCTTCACGTTTATCGGTACATTTAACCTCATATTCGGCGTCAGGGACACTATAACATGCGGAAACGACACCCAACACGGGCCCCTGCAGTGAACGTTAATAATTTGTGATTTAGGCCCTATTTTTCCAATATGGCGGCGTCTGGGGCCTAAGTGAGAGGCCGCAAGTACTTGGATGTTGTTTTATTCGTTTTCTCTCGCAAAAATAACCCGGAAAAATATCCCGGATGGCGTCTCTACGACGATTATGCATTTTTCGTCATTTCCGGTTAAATTTTGAACAATGTTAAAATGGACCCTTAATGGTAATTCAGTCCATTTAACCTCATATTCGGCGTCAGAGACACTATAACATGCGGAAACGACACCCAACACGGGCCCCTGCAGTGAACGTTAATAATTTGTGATTTAGGCCCTAATTTTCCAATATGGCGGCGTCAAGGGCCTAAGTGAGAGGTCGTAGGTACTTGAATGTTGTTTTATTCGTTTTCCCTCGCTACAGTACCCCGGAAAAGTGTCCTGGATGGCGTCTCTACGACAATTATGAAATTTTCGTCATTTTCGGGTAAATTTTGAACAAATACGTTAAAATCTCGGCTCCTATGGGTCAGATTTTGGTGAACGGCGGGTCAAATCGACTAACTGGGTCTAGGGAACGTGTAAAAAAATATCACGCTTTATATACGTTTTGCAGTTTTGTTTTGTGTACCGCTTCGACTACGGGGGGGAAATCACTTGGGTTCGTAGCGTACGGGCTATTTCGTGGTATTTCTTCTGCCATTTCGGTTATTTCTCGGGCCATTTCGGTCATTTCTCGTCTATTTCGGATTATTTCAGGGTACTTCGCGGTATTACTGAGTATTTTAGAAGTATGTCGCGACCATTTCACCGTCTATTTCGCGTTAATTTCGCCTGTATTTCGGGTGAAGGTGTACGAACTATTTCGCAAGTGATTTCCCCCTCGGCTTCGGTAGTGGCCGCTGGCCTCTCCTGCCGAGGCACCGAAGGTGAAGGAGCTAAGGAGCTTCCGAGGGGTCTCCAACCCACCTCAGCAGTGTACGGAGTATTATGGTATAATGCGGTATTATGGCACGTTTTAAGATATTTCTTGTCATATTATTTGATATTATGAAGTATTATATAGTATTATGAGGTATTCTAAGGTATTATAGGGGTATTTTGTGACATATTATGGAGTATTATGAGGTATTATAAAGGTATTATGCGACCCGTGTACGGAGTATTATGCGAGTTGGAGACCCCTCGGGAGCTTCTTATTAGCTTGAGGGACCAGCTGCAGAATAGTGTAAGCTCTTCAGTTCGCACCTGCGGTGCGACTTACTAACAGATACACTGCTGCTCAAAATTAGCGGCGCACTTTTTTGAGCCGGCGTATTTTCTAAGTGTTTTGAGCTAGAATGTCGAGATTTGGCCTGTAGACGTCTCA